TCTTCCTCCTCCTCCCCCTCCTCCTCCGAGTAGTCGTCTGTGCTCCGCCGGCGTTTCCGCATCAGTCGCTTCGACTCCTTGGTGGATCCGTCGTCTTCAGAGTTCTTAGAGGTGTAGCTCTCTGGAACAAGCAGCAGACTCAAAGCCGTTAGCAACGCCGAGTGCGGCCGCAGCCGTCGCACTCCTTCAGGGCTCCTCTTGCACACTCGCTAAGGAGCCAGCGCTCGCTCTCACCCCACACATCTCCCTCTCCTTCCCCAGGTTCCCCAAACACATCAAAACGCTCGCGTTTGGTTCACTTTCTAAATAAAATGCTCAAGTGGCAAAGACCAACAGTTCATCGATATTCAGATTCCACTCTGAGGAGTGCCAGAGGCTTTGGAGGCAGATGCATTCCCCCATAAAAGTGATAGCTGCATACTGGCAATACGCAGGAACTGTGTCCCCAGTCCCAGAGCACCTCCTTTACACCCTTCTGGAAGCTGAGAGCCCAAACAATGGCTGCACTATCATAAATAAGTACACACACACTTCTGTACTATACCCCCACCATCCCCAAATTCCTAGAATCACAGAATGGTTTGGGTTGGAAGGGACCTTAAAGACCACCTAGTTCCAAGCCCCCTGCCATGGGCAGGGACACCTCCCACTAGAACTGGATGCTCAAAGCCCCATCCAGCCTGGCCTTGAACACCTCCAGGGATGGAGCATCCACGACTTCTTTGGGCAACCTGTGCCAGTGTCCCACCATCCTGATGGTGAAAAACTTCCTTACATCTATAAACCTACCCTCTTTCAGTTTAAAGTTATTAATCCTCATCCTATCTTTTTTTATTTTAAAAGTATTTACAACTTCTTCCAAAGCACATGAACTGTCACCTGAAGTTTGCTGCCCTTTAATGGGAGGCCTTTTTTTTTTTGCCAGACTGGGATATTGTTACACACTGACCTTTGATGGCTTAGGTGAGAAAAGATTGAACAATCAAATGGCAAAAAGTTTGTGTGTTCTCCTTGTGATTTCCATTAGGAATGCACGTGAACTGTCATTTTAAAGGGTATTATTTAAGGTAGGTTCAAGTTGAGACAGACTCTGTCAGAGTTCCTGTATTTTCAACATAATTACACTTCCAGTAATGCTGTTACGTGTTTTATAATACACTATGGCAGGGTACTGGAATGGGACTAAATGGTGCTGGCTTTAATATACAGAAAGCCAGTACCAAAAATATCTGAGGAAATGGGATTTCACAGAGCAAAGACACCATCAGTCAGGCACTGTTTCAAATCACAAGTGCAGGCAGGAAAAATCTCACCCACCTTATAGCAGATTGTTAGCAGAGAGCCTAGATGTCACTTCTCAGAACAGACTGCACTGAGGTGCAAGATCAAGGTTTTGAGATACTACATGGCTGCATTGGTACTTGTTCCCCTCACCTGCAAGGATCCCCTAACACTTTGAGAACTCAGGTGAGCACTTCCACAACCTACCTACAAATCAGAGGCGCTCAGCCTGTCAAGCAAAGCAATTTTCTGAGAACCCAGAGTGCAAAGCACCTGAAGTCAGTGATTGCTTTTGTAAAAGCTAGTTTGGCATCACAACGCATGCCAGTCCCTCATGGTGAGACTAGTGCTGCTGAGAGCAGGCTTCCTCCACAGCTCCTTCAAACAGGAGATCAAAGGAGTATCAACCACCAGCACAAACACAACTGGGGCACCAGAAGTAACACCCTTTTCTGGTACAAAAGAGAATCCTTAAGGGCTCATGGGATGAAGCTTTGTGATCTCTTAACAGAGAAGTGGTAAAGCAGTTTTGGAATCCCAGTGCTCTGTGCCACACGGAGTAAATTCAGACCTGTAAGTCAGGATTAGGGACAACGATGACTTTGTGCCAAGTGACTTTAACAGTGCATCATAAAGCACCAGTGGACTGTTTCAGAAGGAAACAGCTTCTGAGAAACATCAAGCAACTCTAGAAAGAAGATTCTCCAAACTCTCTGAATTATATACAGTTTTCTCTTCACTCTAATGCTGACATAGAGCAGCCCCTGCCAACAGTGGGCCGTTTATTTTACCTTCGCTGTCCGACGTGGAGAGCCTGCGTTTATGAACTCTTCTTAACTCCTTCCCGTATCGGACGCTTTTCTGTGAGCCATCACTTTCTGAATCTTCTTTATAATTAACTGGTCTCTTCTGATTCCGTCTTGATCTTCGCCTCCTCGTTTCCAGGTAATCGTCATCGCTGTAGTCTGTGTAATCACCACTCTCTGTGCAGGAGAAAACAGCAACACGGGTTATTCCACTGAAGCGAAACTGCACCGTTCAGATCAGCGTTAGACCAGCACCACTAAAGCCACGAGTTCTCCAGCACAGCAGAGCCCCAGCCATCCTGCCTCGCTACCCTGGCCCCTAGGGGGCTCACGCCTCACGGCCCCCATTCCTCACCAGCACAGAGTCACTTGATTTTAAAATCCTCTCACAAACCCTTTTCCTGTCTCCACTGAACTCCTCCAGGTTTCACTCCACAGCGTTTTTGCTTCCTCATCTCCACTGGTGCCAAAGGTGTCGCCTCTAAATTCCTGACAGTTGAAAGAATCTTACTGAACTGGAATTGATGATCACTGACCCTGGAAAGTCCATTTTTAAAATTTAAATAAATCATATGCTACTCAAACAGTTTTAAGAATAGGTAGATAAAAAAAAAACAAACAGTGACAAGATGAAATTCCAGGGAAGATCTGAGTTAGAGAATTTGAATGAACAACCAAAACCCATCTCGTTGGAGTGCAAATTTGCTTAAAACAAACTGTATAGAAGACACTTACCATAAGGTCTCCTGCAGCTACTGTCTTTAAGAACCATCTTTATTTACATCAGCTGAATATAGCCTTGAATCAATTGTGCCAGAACAATTATGCCAAGATACATTGCTAAACATGTCACATACTGTTCCTAAGTTAGTGATTGACATGAGTCACAGATCAAAGTGGCATCCTCTTTACTTCTTAAAATATCAGAGAATGAATCAGAGCAAGTCAACAAGAACAACCACCTCCAGAAAGGAACTCCAGCTCTGGAGACTGAGAGCAAAGCCACTCGCAGGGTACCTTGTTTCCTTAGCTCAGAACAGGCTTAAAGGAGGATCCTGATGGACAATAGTGGGAGCAAAAGAGAGAAACACAAACTTGAGACTATACTCTTAGGTATAAATGGAATTATACTGGAATCAGCTGATTTTCTCACAGATGTGTGTTCACCAGGAAACAAAGATTTGCTCCTGTGTGTTACAGAAGAGAAGAGCAATCTCTTTAGACTTCTGCCACTATCTGCATTGTTAACAGCTTTGAATCAGTGCAATGAGGCATTCAGGACAGGGAAACAGCAACTAATTTTAAGTGCATATAGCATCCTTCACCTGTTCATGCATGAACCCTCCTTCTGGGAACCAGCACTCCAAAGCAACTTACTCCAACAAGTTCATCATCTATGTTCTAGAGAGACCAGTCAAACCCTGGAGAGGTAACACAGGCTGCAATAGGTTTAAGTACTGCACAAGTACTATCCTCATACTCCACACTGTACAAACAGAAAACCAGCTAGCTGAAGAACAAGTAGATTAAAGTGAATTGTTAGGTTCTCCTGTGATGCAAGAATCTTCAGTTAATAAAAATCAAAAAGGACCACTGGAGAAGAGAGAGATTCAAGGTGTTCTCATTTGCTTTCAAGCCCACCAGAGAACACAGAATACATAAAAGTGCAGGAATCTTCTTCCATACAAAGGAGGGAAAACATTTCTTTCAGAAGCTTTTTCAAAGGTACTTGGAAGGTCTTCAAGTAGCTATAAAAAAGTATATTTTTGCTTCCATCTTTTGTCTTCCCTGCAATCATGGGCCAAATAGGAAGATATAAGGTAGCAGAAACCACCCAACAAGGTGGCCTTTTGAATTGTAGCACAAGCATTCATTTAAATACATACTGACTCAAAAGGCCAAGAACCTAGTGCTCCATTCCAGTTTTCTGCAGAATATTCACAGCAGAACAAGTAGCAAACAGCTTTACAGAAGGGATGACATCCTACTTAACCAAAGCAAGCAAACAAGTTAGTGTCAGTCGTGCCAGGAAACGAGACTTCTACTCTTCTTCTCCCCAGTACAGAGTATTTCATAGTCTTATACTCACCAGATTCTCTGCTTGAGTTGTCCTCAGAATCTTCATCTTCGTCATCTTCAGAATATTTTTTCTTGGCTGTTTTCCTTCGTAACCTCCTGCTTTGCCTCATGGGCCTGGAGAGGTGTCGCCTGGATATGCGGGCACAGAACTCTGAATCACTGTCTTCGTTTGATGGTGGGTCATCTTCACTTTCATCCAGATTTTCCTCTGATATAACAAACTCATCCTGAGATCTGTCAGAGACAGACAACAACCAACAGAGAAACAAAGGAAACAAAGGATTGAATTAGTACTGCCCTTTTGACAAAGAGTCCCATGGAGAAGACAAAGGGTAATGGGGACAAATTACTCCTGGGGACATTCCGATAACACACGAGGAACATTTTTCACAAAATTCATGAGGACGATGAGCCTTGGAATAATCTCCCCAGGGAAGTGGTGGAGTCCCCAGCATTGGACACTTTTAAGATTCTGCTGGACAGGGTGTGCTGGGCCAGTTTTGTCTAGACCGTGCTTTTCCCAAGGAAGGTTGGACCAGGTGATCCTTGAGGTCCCTTCCAATGTGGTATTCTGTGACTCTGTGATACTTATATTTTACAATCACATGGTATACACATGGTATGACCTCCCCTTCAGGAACCAAGCCCTGTCCTACACCACTTCCAAGAATTACAGTATCGTGTCTTAACACAAACCTACTGCTCTGGTGCAAAACAACCATCTCAAACTTACCAGCCTGTGACACTCCCATCGTTTCAGGAGTGGGCCAGTGCTCTTCTAAAAACCACTGAGCACTGCAGGTGCACAGCCACTTGCACCTGGCTGCCAGCTGAGTGTAAATTCCAATGAAAACGGATGTGCACACTTTAACAGATCAGTGCCCTATTAGTGCTGTGAGATCTCTGCAAGCTACACTCATTGATTGGAAATTTCCAGCACATTTAGCTCGGCTGTTCAGGGTGCCACTGAAATGCCCTCAGCATGGTCACAGGTGAAAAACAAAGTTCAAAATTTGCAGCAATGTTGTATAGATTATCCATACACTTCGTAAACTGACTCAGTGACTGGTATAAAGTTTTAAATGTTGATGGTATAGAGCCTAGACCTCATGCTCCACTCCCCAGGAAGAGCTTCAATGAACCCGAGCAATGCTCATTCATCGTTTAAAGCTTCACATGACACGTACTGGCTTTCTACAGCATAAACCATTTCTTTGACCTTTTCAAATTGAAATCTTCTAGAGAGCAAAAATTAAAAACTGATTTCAGAACCTGCACATCAAGATCTGTATGCTCTAAATGGGAACATTTTACTCTTCCAATTTCTAAGTGGCAACCAGGCCCAATAAAAATCTCATAAAACAGGACATATATTGAAAAGGAAACAGTTGGCATTGTTAAGGATTTCTGCTAGACAGTCACATCAGTCAGAGAACTGACAGCATCTGGCTCTTTCACAAACATAACCATGTACAGAACCCCCCAGTGTGGCCTCAAACATACCCCTAACATTTCCAGAACATGTTTTGCTTAAAATACAGATTAGATGATTTCAGCTGATGGCTCCTGCGTGCAGTTTTTCCAGCACTGATGTTCTCCTAGGCCAGGAGGACTTCTGCTGGCACTGTGCAGTACTGTTCCAGCACTGGGCACATGCTCCTAATGACGGTTTCAAGGGTGCTGCAGAGTCACAGAAGCCTGTAGCAGTCTGTGACTTGTGGTGGAGGTTAAACTGCAGACCTACCCATCACTGATCTTGAATTCATCCTCACTCTCTTCTTCATCCAGGTTACTGTCACTATCCAAGTCATTTAGTCGCCGTCGTTTCTTGCGTCGTGCTGCCGCAGCCCTTTGTGGTCGCTTGTTTTCTTTCCTTTCTTCCTCTAGGATTGTGGAAATGTCTTTCCCACGGTGACCTGTGATATTAGACATGTCTTTGCCCCTGCCAATGCCTGAATCCAGTGACAGAAAGGGGAAAAAAAGAGTAAGTTTATGTTTGGTTTAACTTTATACATGTCTTTCTTCCATGTCTCCAGCTTCAGTTTATTTTTGATAAAGCAAAGCAGCTTTTTGTCCTGCAAGACTCTGTGTGGAGTCGTGTTGCTGACACACACAGGCCCACTTGGTCACCTGGAAATACTGAGGTCCATGCAGAAGACCGTGGGTGAGTGCTGGCATTCTGATACTCAACCTCAACCCACTTTATTACCAATGAAGGTGCCTTCAGAGCAGGGCAGGTACCAGGAAATACATTTTCTTCATAATGCAGAACATCCTTCCTGGGAGCTGAAGTGTTTAAGCTGCTGTTTGGCCAGGGAGTAGCATTTCTAAAAAGATGGTTTTACTGTTGAGAATTAGTTATGCTTATTATATGGGTCCCATGTTGCACACTCCCAGACACCCAGTTTTCAGACTGTCTGAAAATCCACCAAAGCTTCTGAAAACTGGGGTCTTTACAGAGATGCCACAAGCCAAACAGCTGGGATAATGCTTCCTCATGGTTTTATCCAGGCAAGTTCAGGTGATTCAGAGGCACAAATCCATCAGGATCTCTCATATACATCTCTCTTTTGGTGCCCTGTGTTGCCTTAACAGGCAATAAAGCCCATTATTTCACTTTATTCACTTTCAGCTGAGAAGTACTTATAGAGCTGGATTAATATTTGAAAGACAAATTTGCAGATCCAGTCTTTAGGAGGTCCAGCTGTGGATCAAGTTATGAGCCATATTTTTCCAGGAAACAAATATCAATAGTGCTAGCTGCCATTCCAATCTCAAATCCAGAACTTAACAAATTAATTTATAGAGCTTTCTTGTAATTCTTATTCATTGCATTCATCTACCAAAATATGTACAAGTTGAATTTAACTATCAAGACCAAATATGTTTTGGCATTTTTGGCAGCCTGAGATGGCCATTCCCAAGCGAAATTATTTAGTTTGGTTCCAAAAATACAGCAGTAAAAGCTGCAAGCTACAAAGGTTACAGGAGAGGAGAGTTGGGGTTGTTCAGCCTGGAGAAGAAAAGGCCCCAGGGAGACCTTCTGGTGGCCTTCCAGTACTCCAAGGGGCCCACAGAAAAGATGGGGAGGGACTTGTTATCAGGGAGTGTAGGGACAGGACAAGGGGTAACGGTTTCAACCTGGAGAAGGTCAATTTAAACAAAAGAAACTAGTTGCTATGAGGGTGGTGAGACACTGGAACACGCTGTCCAGTGAGGGTGTGGATGCTCCATCCCTGGAAGTGTTCAAGGCCAGGCTGGATGGGGCTCAGAGCCACCTGGTCTAGGGGGAGGTGTCCCTGCCCATGGCAGGGGGCTTGGAACTAGGTGGTCTTTAAGGTCCCTTCCGACCCAAACCACTCTGTGATTCTATGGTTTTATGGTATGATTCTATGATTATATTTGTTGCTTCACATACCAAAATTAATTTGGTCTCAATCTTTTTATCACCAGGACAATGGTAAAATAGAACATCAGAAACTTACCTCCTCCGTCAGCCTCCTTGATATCATCTTCAATTGCCTCATCAATTGCCTCATCAAATTCATCAAACCTAGAAGTAACAACTTTCATTTACCACTTCGAAGCGAGCTCTAATTAAATCATGTCATGAAAACATACCTCAAAATCTAAAACTGCTCTAAGAAATCACACGGCACAGACAATGGGTTGGATATAGAATAAAATACTGAAGATATAGGCCAGCTTGATGATAAAATAGCCATTTTTTAACAGATCTTTCTTATTTCTGCTTGCTAGTGGATTATTTATCATTGCCTTGCTGTGTTACTATTGATTTATGTGAACAGAAAACCACTTTCATTTTACATGACACACCACGGGATTTAACAACATATAATTTCAAGTTCTTTAAGATGGTATCAGTGGCATTTTTCACATAAAGTAGGAGTCATTATTTTTCCCACACCTTTTATTAGATGCCATACACACTGCCGATCTGCAAAACAGACTGTGTGAAAAGCCCTTACTGAAGTCAAATTACTCATCCTGTCTAAATTTGCCTTGAAAACTTATTTCAGACAGCTTCTTTCTCCTCTAAAAGCTCATGGTAATTATACTGTAGATCCTACACTGAGCAGGTAAAACATACTGAACACAGTTCTTTGTAGTTACATACAAGTAAGCCATAATATAATCTTACATAACTATCTAGGACAAACAAAAGCAAAACACTGGAGTATGTTTGTCCTGCAGCAGATCTGAAAAAACTGCATAAATCTCTGCACACTGAGTAACTCATTTGAAGGGAACAGCAAATGGAGGAAAAAGGATTCAGTCCTTTTACACACACGATTTCAGTTTGCTTCTTCAGTTATGAACTCAAATCCTATAAAGAAGGATTGTTACCTGTATCACCAAATAGATGCCTTGAGATATTACATGCAAAGGTACAAACTTTATGAACTTCACAAGAAAAACATTTTATTTAGATACACGTTCTTCTTTTAGAAAAAATATATTTATTTTTTGGTATTTTTTTCAATACAAACAACTAGTGTTGGAAAGTACTGGACAATACTTTCACTAGATATTGGAAAGTATTGGAAAGAAAAAATACTTTCACTAAAGACTCAGTTTCTCAGTCACATAAAGATAACAGTTCTACTTATCTTGGTCCTTCATAGTAACCTCCAGCAGAACAAAATAATAGATCTAATATTACTTTGTATTCCAATAATAAGCATAAAACACTTCCTCCTCTAAAAGTGTGATGGATTCTTGGGCTCTCTATATTCCCTAAGAACATGTGCATGGCATGTTCAAGGCAGCTTCAGACAGCAAGGAATTAACCCTGAAATTCTTTCATCAATAAGATTAGTTCCACATGACTCAAACACTACTTTCCCTCCACACTGCTAAACAACCCTAAACTCTTCAGAACCTGAGGAATCACTTAACACTTTCAAACCACTGCTAACAAATAACCTGAGCTCAAACCCGAGCTGGCAGCTGCTTGTCCAGTAGGTGTAAAGGACCAGAAATGCTGCTGCTGCTGCTTTATTCATGGTGCAGGTCTTTGCTAACCTGCTCATGAGAGGACTCAGGAGGTGGCTCAGGCCACACAGAGGGATTACACGTCTGCAAGAACCAGAATGCTACACAGCACAGACTGGGCTGTAAGCAGGGCGAGATGTTTAGCATTTCTCTCCTCCTGAGCTGAAGGAAAGCACACACAATTCCCAGTGACACTCATGAGACTTCACTGCAGACACACAGATTTCCAGTGACATGTTGACACGTGTAATATTTTTACCAGCTCGAAGTTACGCGGGTGATGGAGTCTGTAAGAAAAACTCTATCATTTTGTATCAGAAGATCCACTTTTTCCACAACGTCATGTGAAGCTTTATTTCCAATAAAAATTACTGTCTTTGCACAATGTGTCC